GGAAAGAGGCAAAACAATTGTTAATGTGGCAAAGTCAGTGGTGCCGCATGACGCTGGAGAGGTTACTGCATGGTACCAACAGCAAGTATGAGTTGCTTAAAGGCAGAAATGCCTGATGTAATGTAACTTCTTTCAAGATATCCTTCTGAGAGGGAAAAAGCACAGACCATAAGATGATGTAGAACAGGAGGTGGTTTCTATTCTTCCTTGCATGTGTTACAGACAAGAGCGATGTTGTGTATAAAAGAAGAGGGTGAGAATTTGCTTTTCTAGTCAGCCACTTTCTTCAGTTTCTCAACCAACAAGTTTTCCTGTGCTCATGTGTGCCTGCACCCTTGGCTGCTCCATCTCTGCCTTGCCTCCAGTGATTTTCTTGGTGAGAGTTTGTGAAAGCAGCTGCAGGACTACCCCTGTTATAGGAGATGGCAGAGACTTCCTCCAGAGGAGCTCATTGAATTAGACATTGGATCTTAAATACTTACCACCTCCAGGAAGAGAAAGACAAAGTCTCTCTCCAAAAATGCACCAGGGGAAGGTTAGTAAAGGATATTCCATCCCATTTCCCAAAGGCACCTAAATTAAAGTATATCTCAAATGGCTACAGCCAAAAATGTGATGTACTGTGTGCTGGGGAAATGCAATGTTTCTTCATGCGGGTTATGCAAAATACTTCAGTACCTTGAAACTCTCTCGTACACAGTTCTTAACTATAAAATGATCAGATATCATGTAACGCAAAAGGGAATGGATGTACTTTGATATGAAACTTTTGAGAGAGACAAGTGATGGCAGCAGTAAATGGAGAGGACCTTTCAGCAGCAGGTAAGGACTCTGCAGGTAGATCAGGGGAGCAAGAGTTTGCATATCAACTTGTGGGGAAAGGCAAAAACTCGCCTGGCTGCAATAGACTGGCTGCTCCCTTGTCTTCTCCTTTTCTTTCCTTCTCCACCAGTTTTTGCCAGGTGTCACTCCTACAGCCATTGGCTCTGTCTCAAACTGGGTGAAGGCTGCATTTTATGTTGTTGAAAGTGTATTTGGTCAAAAAAGCTTGCTGCTTTTCTGCCCAAGTCAGAACAATGAACTGAAATTCAGAACTGCTCAAGAAATTACATAATGCGTTGTGATATGTCAACTAGCACCTTAATTGTTGGTTTTCTACTTTTTAAGATTATAACACAGAAATGGAAAAACATTTTTAATTCTGTCAAGTTTTTTTCTAAAAAAATTGTGGAGAAATCAACACATTCTTCCAGAGTGAAAAAAACAATATTCCTCTGATGGAAAAATTTGTTTGGAAAATATTCAACAGGCCCTAGCTGCCTCCCTCTCCTGCTCTTTGCCACTTTCCATATCTTATTTTGTATTTAAAAAATGTTAAATATTAGGTTCAGACAGCAGTTTAGCTGTCCTTGTCTGGAGTCATATCTCCTGCTTTCATTCACTTCCACCTTCCCACCACTCCTATTTCTTAGCCTCCTTCCCTGTACTTTCTTCCTGACTCTGTTAGTTGAGAGGACCTTTTGCCTCCAGCGAAAGGTTTTGTTCCTTAAGGAACAAAATCCCCAGGGGAAGGAAAAGGGCAGCTACGGGCTGCCTTCCTTCTCTGGGTTCAAGCCCACAGGTGGAAACAACAGAAATTACCCCAGTAGCATCTGTTTCCCTCACACAGATAGCACGACAGGCTTTGCAGACTGATGACTCTCAGAATTGTGATTCCCAGGGATGTCTTTTCACTTCAGACATTTTGGCTGCATACCACATCCCTTTGCCTCCTGCTCTCCTTACACCCATGCCCAATTTGCATTAAGGTCTGGGAGACATACCCAGGTCTTTACCATTCCTGTGGGTACAGATAAACAATAAGCAACATCAAAAGCCCCACAATTTAAGAAGGATGTGAAGGACTTTGAATGCGTCCAGAGGAGGGCAACAAGGCTGGTGACAGGGCTGGAAGGAACGTCCTATGAGGAGCAGCTAAGGATTTGGGCTTGTCTGGTTTTCAGAAAAGGAGGCTGAGGGGTGACCTCATTGCTCTCTACAGCTTCCTGAGGAGGGGAAGTGGAGAGGGAGGTGCTGATCTCTTCTGCCCGCTATCCAGTGATAGGACACACGGGAATGACTCAAAGCTGCTCCAGGGGAGGTTTAGACTGGGCATGAGGAAGCGTTTCTTTACCAAGAGGGTGGTCAAACACTGGGACAGGCTTCCTAGAGAGGTGGTCGATGCCCCAGGCCTGTCGGTGTTTAAGAGGCATTTGGACAGTGCCCTTAACAACATGCTTTAACCTGGTCAGGCCTGAACTGGCCAGGCAGTTGGACTGGACAATCATTGTAGGTCCCTTCCAACTGAAATAGTCTATTCTGTTTTGTTCTGTTCTATTAATAAATGATGCAGAAACACTGCAGTGCACAGATGATGCATGTTGCAGCAGGCTGTCAGGAGACGGGCTGCTAACATTGAAAATATTGGCTGTTCATACCAAAAGTCTCCCCAGTAAGGGTAGGTCTAGTCAGCCTGGCCAGTCTGGCTGCCTTACACATTTTGCCTTCAGTATCTTTCTGAAGGAGGAACAAAGTGTCTCACCTGCACCTTTTCCTTGCAAAGGAAGTTGCTCGTCTTCATTTGATTTATAGACAGAGTTGATTTAAGAATTCGATTGAAGGCTGCCCTCCTTCTGTCTTAAGACAAAACTTTTAATTACCTACTACTTGTCAAATTCCAGCATTCAGTCTATGTGTTTCCAGGAAGCACGTCTGTCTTAGACTGGGCATTTCAGGAAAGTCTCATCTAGAAGAGTTTACCTTTTTTCCCAAGGATGAGACAAAAGGAAAAACATTAGGCTTTTTCATATTAATAATTTCACTGCCAGGTAATAGCCCTCCTACACCTTGCTCCGGAGTAGAAGAAACAAGCTAATTCCAGAGCAGTACTGCACCTGATCCACCGTCCATCATTCAGGCAATGCCAGAGTAAGGATCTCCAAAAGCAGAGTCTGCATTGGGAATACTGTGTTTAATACACCTTGCTAGACTTATACTCCATGAATAATTTCTTTTTGAACAGATATATTTTAACATCGATACATTCCCGTGACAATGAGTCCCACAGTTCACATATATTTCTTTTATTTGTTTTAAATTTCCTGTTTGATAATTTCATTGGTTGCTCCTTTGTTCTCATGTTGTAAAAAATAGTGGAAAAAGACTTCTTATTCACCTTCTCCCTCCTATTCCTTTTTGTAGAGACAGATTCCATGTCCTCCTCAATAATTTCCCTTCCACTGTTAAGGCCTGTAGCCTATTTAGTCCCTCTGGTGTAAAAGTTGTTTCAGATCTGTCATCATAGTTGGTGCCTTTCTACAGCTTCTTTTATTACTCTGTTTTCTCAAGCGTCAGAGGCTTTTGCAGTGGACCTACCGAATGTATCCCCCCCAGAGAACCGTATGAGCATAAATTTAATTCTGTATGAATGACTGTTATTTCTTTTTTTTTTTTTTTTTTAATCTGGGAAATTCTATGCAGATGATCATTCTTTGAAGAATTTTGAAACTGCAAAAAGGGGTATTTGAATATGTTTGGCGATCCTAGAAATAATAATACCGATTTTAAAACGTTTTAAAAGAAATTCTGCATGACTACTGCATGACTTGAGGTTTATCATTGGCGATCAATGTTGGCTGTTTGGCTGGCAAAATACTCTGTTCTACTGACGTGATTCATCGTTCTTGTATCTTAACTGTACTTCGAGATACAGAGCATATCAAGCAATCCTTAATTATATGAGCAGATGCAGGCAAACTAGTCAGCTGTGTATTTAATGCAAGATATTGCTTCAGTTCTGCTTGCACAATCTCTTTCTACAACCTAGTTATTTGTGATTTTGTCTTGCCGCCTGACACACAGAAGATCTGAGATGACTCTTTGATGAAACCTTTCTGTGTTATTGCATCATCACACATGTGCCACAGCCGTGGACCAAGAGGGAGGTGCAGGTGCAGAGTGTGACCCGCTGATATGACCGAAGATAGAGCTAGTATATCCCTCGCTCGGAGCTGTGACACAGGGGAGTCTCCTGATATACCTTCCAGAAAAACATGTGACAACTACAGGGTAGGATGGGAATGGTACTGCATGGTAAATCCAGACCTTCGCCTTTCAGAACATCTTCCCTGGCTCTTCCTGGGCAAGAGACTACAGTGCCGAGTGCTGCCGCGCACAGTGAAACAGGAGGGTCAAGGGAGGTGGCAGGGTCACGCCTGAGTGTGTCTCTTCCACACTCACCCTAGAGCTAGTTTCAGCATCCTTTCACAAGTGGCCACATAGATGTATTGATTCAAAGAAAATGAACTGTTAACTTGCCTATTTTGTGTGAAATGCCTCTCCTCACTGCACATGTAGGTAGTCCATGTCCTTCAACTAAACAGTGGTATTTTCCTTTCCTGCTCACTCACTTCCCACCACTTTCCTGCTGTGTTGACTCACACACTTGCACAACTGCAAGACTGCTGCACGAGCGTTAGAAGGGGCAAGGCATCCAGCCCTCAGTCAGTACGTTTTTTGACAGTCATTTCAGGGTAATTAATAATGACATTAGCCTGTCGGTAATGATTTTAGAAAGTTTTTTTCTTTTTCATTTCATCTGTGTCAGAACCAAGATCGGGGGGTATGAAAAAGTGTGCTTCTCCCAGCCACAGTTGCCAAGGTGCTGCAACCCAATGGCAAAATTACCCCTTGCTTTTGAAAACATGGGATGCAGTCTTTTTCATCTGCTTGTGTCAGAAACCCTCCTTTCTTTGGGAGAAAGTACTTATCCTCAAAAACACGTTCGAGTCTTAAAACCAACCTTTCAAGTCTTAAACCAACAGGAATAACATTCAATGAAACAGCAGCAAGCAGACAGGACTGACCTGGTTTATAGCACTTAGTTTAGATAAACACTGGGTTATTTCAGAAACACTTGGAAAAGGTTTCTATACAACTCTGAAAGAAAACTTGTTGCCTGTACCCTGAGATACCACTAAGAATGGAGATACTTACAAGTGTCCACTCGCTGGAGATTTCTCATCCGGATGATCCTCACGGTCAGCAGGTAGCAGGGAGAGGATTCTATCTGGAGAAGAATGGTATAAGACAGCGTACGGATAAGCTTTCAGTGAGAAAAAGTATCAAATGTGCAAACTAAGCAACTGCTACAAAAAAATAATACAGTAGGTAAAAATTGTGTCGACCATCTCAGTATTCTGCAGATGAAAATCTGCTATTAAAGAAAACTTGTTTTAACATTTTATTCATTTCACTGTGTTTTTGCTGTGCTACCCTGAGAGTCTGGATTGCTCATCATAGCGGAAAAGAAAGACAAAAATCCCTGAAAACTGACACTGACTGTGAGATGCTTGCAAAACCCCTTGCTCTGAAATTGCAGAATTTAGCTCTACAACACAGCTACAATAAGTCTCTTGAACAGAGTAAATGCACTGGTGAGCACCATGCGGGAGTTGTCAAAATACTGGCAGTCCTACTCAAAGTTATGGTCAGTCCCCTGAGTAACCACCCACGAGGTCCCGCCGCACTGAAAAGAGCAGTGTGGAGAACGTCTGTTGTCACTGACTCGCACGAGATACACCCGAAGAACTGCTCTCAGAGAGGTGTTTTTGCCTTCTGCTTCAAAAGCATAGATTTCTCTTTTTTTTTCCCTTTGCAATTGTACGGGAAAACCAGTAATGATAATCTGAGCTTTTGTCAATCACAACTACGAGACAAACCAATGGCATAGAATTGTTTTGAGGATTTAGGGGGTAAGGAATTAGTTATCCGTTGCCTTTGGGGGAAAATAAAGAACAATACCCCCCTCCAAAAATCTCTGAAGATTGAAAGTGCTTAACTTCCTTTGGTCCCTTTGAATATCTCAGCCATAACCTTCTATAAAAGAAGTCTCTCCAGATTTTGTGACTGCAGGGACCTCTTCCTATTTATTGTTAGAGGATAATGTGATTTCCTTCTTCTAAGGAAGGCAATTTCCTGCTGGCTCATTCCATAAAGCTGTCTCTGGCTCAGACCTATCTGCAAAACGCTACTCTGACAAAGCCAATAAATAAATCAGCATTTCCTGTGACTGTAACACACGGTCATTTCCTCACACTCCTAGAAACATTTCCACCTGTATAAGTGGTTACAGCAGAGCCCTCCAAATTGTTCTTTCTGACAACTGCTATTTTTGTCAACCGATTTCCTTGCATTTAGGAGCATCCTTCTATTTCTATAGCACTTCAGAGACTTCCTAGATCGACTATAAACAAGCCGACAAAATAGATGTCAAGGCAGATAAAGAGAAGCTGGAAGAACCTAATTTAAAACAATAGGTGTAATGTTGCCTTTTTTTTTTTAAAGAGAACAGAGTGAAAAGGACCTTATTTTCAGATGAGAAGACAATTAGGCCTCCTTTGTCGCAACAAATTAATTCTTCAGTGTGGCTTTAAATCCTCTCTTCTCTCTCCTAACATACCATGTTATGTTAAAATGTTTTTGCTGAGACCTTAAAAAGAGTTCCTTCTTTCACCCCTCCTGTAATGTGCCTCAAGAATTCTTTGTTTCCTTTCTTTTTTAGTACTTCTGCATGAAATTCACCCTCAGCAATCCATCCACCTTCTATTTCAAGTGTTCTTGAAGGAGAAAAAGTCTAGCAAAAGCAGCAAAATTTGCAAACAACAGCTGGTGGAGGGGTATGTCCTCAGAGCTACCCCATGCAGGGACACTGGTTCACATTTCAGAAACAGTATAGCCATATTAATACAGTTCTCCACCCAGCTAATTAACCCTTCTTCTCAGCTGGGTAATTAGCAAAGGTGGATCACCACACTCAGATGTTAGGAATGAGCTTGGGCACCTCAGCGTATGCCCTAGAAGGCAGAAACTCACTGTTCAGTAGGATCTGCATAAGCACGGGGCAATTCTTGCAGCCATTTATCTCCGGAGATTGCACAAGGTGCTGCCCCGGCTCCTGGATCAGCTCCAGCTACACTTCCTCGGGCATTGCTTGAGTGAGAACCGACGGATTCAATATTTGCAAAGCAGTTTGAGACTCTTAGACAGGAGACGTTAAGAAAGTGTGGTGGATTGGGGTTTTTGTTAAATGAGTATTACACAGTTTCTGCCATCTGATCACCTGTCTCCTGGTTCCCGTGTAACGACTTTCTAACGTGTTAGCCAAATTTCCCCACCTGGCATGGGGAAATCAATTCTCAGAGATGCGGGGTTCACAAAAATATTTACTGAAGTTTCACCAAAAAAATCAGTGGCTTCACAGAAGCTACCGAAGTCAGCACCTGTGCTTGCACTGGGGGTGGGCAGATGCCACCAGCCAGTTAGCCGAGGAAGAGGCAGCAGCCAGGAGTTAGCCATCCTGGCAGCCCTGGCCCCTGCCAGTGGGGGTAGCGTAGACAACAACGAGAGCAGAAATCACCTGGTGATGAGACCTCACTAGTTCTACTGCTCCCAGGAGGATTTGCTACTTTAATTAATTCCAGTAACATATTAAACAAAAGAAATGCATTTAAATAGCAACTGTGACAACCATAACATGATGTACTAGGGCCTAGTTATACCAACAAAGAAAATAACAGCTATGCATGCATAAAGCAAAGGGTAGAAGTTCTGTTATTCTGTTTACTTAAAAGCTATTATGATACCTTTAATGAAAAAAAAAAAAAAGGCTTCTGCTATGTCATGATGTTCCACATACGGAGAGGTTTCCACCACGGCCTTGAGTGGTGGAAGACCCCAAGCAGTGTCCCTCCCTGGGGCTAACAAGGACATACTACCACAACCACTTAGTGCTGTCACGTTGTGGCTTTGCTTTTGACAAAATCAAGACTGACGTAGTCACTCTGTGGCTGTTCCACTGATTGTCAGTCTGTCGGCTCATCTCCAGTTCAGTGCTTCCCAAATGGTGCTCACGTGTGCTTGGTGTACACGCCTGTATGGTACAGCTGCATGCAATACAGCACGCTGCGATGCCAGTGCACGAGCAGGGAGTACGCTGCTGGTTTGTCTGTCCTTCCAGGGAAATGGAGTTTTACTGGGGTTTTCCAAACAGCAGCTCCATCAAACATAGAGCAGACCTCATAGTCTCTTCTTCCGATTTTCCCCCACTTTCCATAAAAAGGAATAACATGGTATGATACTTGGCACCAAGTTACTATGTTGGTGGAAGTAAAGGATTCCTCTGTTGTGTGAATGATTCCAACTTTCTCCCAGTTGGGTGAGTAAAAATTTTAAAACAGAAATTTCTCTGTCATGAGCACTGTGGTGATGCAGGCTGTCTGCATTCCTGGCAGATTTGTGCCTCTGTAGGTCTACCCCAGCCCTCTTTAAAGTCATGCTTATATTCAGATGTAGGTATGTGTGGCATGCATCCATCTCATGAAGCACTGCTGTAAATTACTCCACTAGTTTAGCTGCATAATGCATCCTGTCACATCACAAGTGGCTGTAGAGCTCCAAAATGGCAGTACTCCTTAATGAGACCAGAGTCCAGGAGACCAGAGGATGGGTATTCTTCTTTACCTTTTTTAACTTGCTGTTCTCTCAGTACCTTTCTTGAATGTCTAGGCTTTTTCACCTAACAGACTCTTCCAGCATGGGCTATTGCTAGCAGCATCTTTCCAGCTTGAGATAGCAATGTTATGGATATTCACCACTCCACCATGCCTACTGCAGCCTACCCCAGTCTTGCAGTTCCACAATAGTACAGTCAAATGTATGTTGAGTCAATTCATGTTTTGGTTTCCAGTGTTAGCTCCTTGTTTTACCATAGATGTTCGATCAGGTGGCAAAATATTGTAGCTGCCTTCCCAAAACAGAGAACAGTCATCCAACAACTCTGATCCAGAGAGGAGAATTTACTCTTGAACCTCCAGGGGCAGCCAACACATTCTTAGTCTTGATTGTTGCCCTTTTTAGATTGGTATTTATTCCAAAGCAATTATAAACTAACAGAAAAATCATGCAGAGATCCTGAAATTCATCTTCAGTGTGTGTGATGAAAACTACATCATCACCAAAGAGCAGCTGTCCTCCAAGTAGGTGCTCAGCTGTTGCTTTTCTACATGAACTATGGAATGCCTTCCATCTGGTCTCCTGAGGAGGTTGCCTTTGTCATACTGGATGAAAAATTGTGATGAGGAAGCAGAAAAAATTATGTGCCACAGTGTGCCAGTGTTATTACCTATTTCAGTGCAACCACGCTGCATGCTATTCCACTAACCATCCTGCAAAGATCAGACGAGATTTAAAAATACCTTGAGGACAATCAACTTACTTTTTCAATGGTTGAAAAAGGCCATTTCTACAGACCAGCCTGAAAACATTTGTGTTATCTATGAAAACCATGAAAAGAGCTTCCTCTCCACCCACACATTTTTCCTGCAGTCACCCGGTAATAATGCCTCTGTCCGTTTCTATGTCATCTACTGGCACAACAGCCTTTCCTGGCAAGGACAGCTTCCCTGCCTTGACTAAGGTCCCCCCTGCATTCCTGGCCCGGAGAAGCATTCTGCTGAGATGAAATCACTCACAGGATGTCACCAGCGCACTCCTTTCTTCATCTCCAGGTGCTAATTTAACTAGATGGTAGCCAGGGACCAAATCAAAAGAACTAAAATACTTTGCTGCTGACGGTCTACCTAGAGCTGGTGGTGCATGAAGAAGCACCTATCTTGAGCTGCCTGGGAGTCAGGTCTCCTTAGAGAATGTGCATCCTCAAGTTTTCTCCAGCTGTGATCAGGTTGGTTCAGGCTGGAGACCATCACTCAGCCTCCCACTGCTGTGGGATGTGCCAGCGGACCCCGCTGTGGCACACTGCCTGGGCTGAGCATGGCCAGCTGAGCGTTTGGCCACGTCTCTGGAGCTCTTCCTCATTCTCAACACAGCCCGGCTCCGCGCCGGAAAAGCAGCCGCTCTAATCGCTTCCTTCCTTTGCCTCCTCCAGGCGCGGGGGCTGCGGCACCTCCATCGACGGCGGCGGGGCTGCACGGGGGCTGGGGGGTGCCGAGGACCACTGCTGCCACCGGCTGGTTTCCACCAGCCGCATGTTTCATA